AGGTGGATGGCGGCGCCCCCGGGCCAGCCCGGCTCCCCGGCGCTGCCGCCCCCGGAGCTGGCGTAACGCGGGCTCAAAGGGCGAGGATCTGCCCTTGGGCTCTTTCACAACGTTCGGCGAAGCTGCACGCAGGGGTGGCAGGAGCGAAAACCCTGTGTGCTCCCTGCTGCAACCCTGTCCTGCTGCACTCCATGCGGAGGGAACTACTGCTTCTGGTGGTGATTCCCTGCTGCAGTGCCCTTATCTACAGCCCCCTTTCCTCAATCCCAGCAGAGAAACAAGCTACAAAAGGCTAAAATCGGCATTTTTCCGTCTGTCCCACCAAGGCCAGTGCTGGGGCGCCGCATCCCCAGGGAGCCTTTGCTCCACAGAGCCTGCTGGGGCATCCCAGGGCAATGCAGCGCACAGAGCCTTCCTCCTCCTCCTCTTCCCTGCCAACAGGGCCTCCTGGAAAAGCCGGTCCCATCGCAGGAGGCGGCTCAGGCAAGGGGACGGCTTGGAGCAGGGGCAGGGCCCTGGTGCAGCTCCCTTGTGGTCCCACGGCCCACGAGCTGTGTTTGCCCCCACAACACCTCCCGGTTGGACTTTGCTCTTGGTCTTGCAGCTCCCTGATAACAACCCTGTCCCCTGCCAGCACCAGCTCCCCCCTGCCGTGGGGATGCTGCCCTGCCTGGCAGGCAGCCCCTGTCCCCACCTGCCCCGGGGACAAGGCCGGGGGAAAACGGCCGCAGAGAGGGATTTTCCTCTCTGTCATTGGCATCTGCCAGGGGACAGAACCAAGTCCTGGCTCTGGGGGTGACACCTTCACGCGGCAGCATGAGCCCTCTGCCGCGGGGCCCCGCAGCTCCGCGCGGCACCGGCGCACAGCTCTAGCTCTGCCAAAGCAAGACACTGCGGAGAGACGGGCTGCGCACGCGGCTGCTTTATGGAGGCAACGTCCGATGTCCTGATGCTGCCGAACCCACTGTCCCTGCTGCAACAGCTGGGGGGATGCAGCCCCGGGCTCACTGGATGCCCACCAGCTCTGTTATGGGGGGAGCGTGGACCATCAGCTCCTCGTATTTCTGCAGGAAGAGCCGGAGCCGGGACGCGTAGGAGTCCTCGTTGTAGGGCAGCCGCTTCTCCCGCAGGTACCGGGATACGATGGGTTTGATCTGCAAAGGCCAAGGCGGAATCACCCCGGGCAGGATGTGCCGGGGGCAGCACCGGCGTCCGTGAGCGCGTCCAGCCCGGTGGCTCCGAGCCCCCGCGCAAGCCCAGGCCGCGCTGCCCCTGCCCTCACCTTCAGGCACATGTTGTCGGAGAGGCCGGGGAAGAGGTGATGCTCCACGTGGCAGCTGATGAGCGAGTGGCCGAAGGACCAGTCGAGCAGCGCGTTGCGGGGCAGGTTGAGCACGCCGAGGCTCATGAGCCGGATCCGCGCGGGCTTCCTGTCGGCCGCGAACATGGGCAGCCCGATGTGCTGCGGGGGAGGCCGGCGGCGCTGGGGACAGCAGCTCGCGGCCACCTGCCCCGTGTCCTGCCCTCCGCCGCCCGGCCCGTCTGCATGCGGACGCAGAGCCCCCATGCAGCACCCTGGGCTCCATCCCCCAGACACACCGGCGCAAACAGCCTCTGCCCGGCCCAGGGATATCCAGCTTCATCTACAACAGCATAAATGCAACAAGACCCTACAAATCCATGTCACCACCATTCACCCCGGCGGGGAGGAGATCCCAGCACAGCTTTTGCATTTACTCTTTCTCCCAACAGATCTGCGATCAACATTTCCCCTCCTTGACACTCTGGGCCTGAGCCTCCTCTGCTCCAGAATCAGCACTAGGGAGATTAAAGCAAATCCTGCCCGTCTTTAGCTCGCCAGCGACATCAGGACTGGGTGGTGGTTGGCCCGTTGCCAAGGCTGTTAGGACATCTGGAGCTCTATGTTCCTACCTGGAAGATGTTCACGTGGATATAGGGATGTGCAAGGAGGGAGCGGGTCACCAGCATGCAGAGCAGAGCGGACCAGGCAGACTGGAAGCCTGAGACGTGGAGCAGAATCCAGTAGTGGGAATAAAGACCCAGAGACATGAAGCAAATGGTCCGGAGAGCTGTTTTCAACTTGACGCTCCTCAGCAAATCTGCAAAGGGAAGAAAAGTCAGCACGTGGGAGAGAGGCCCAGGCTTATGGCACGCAACCTGCCGTGCAGCCCTGCACTGCCTTCATCCTGCCCTCCTGGCCCATTCCCCCAGCCCCAGGCTGGCTGGAAGGCCCAAGCCCTGCTGAGCTGCTCAAGGGCTCATTTAATGGGCTGGAGCTCGGAGATGCTGCCGGCCCCATCCCTCCGAGGGGCACAGAGCTCATCTGGTCAAGGACAGAGCAAAAACAGCACCAAATCCTGCTCCCTTCTCTGCAATGGGGGCAGGGTAGGAAAATCGAGCTGAATCAACCATTTCTTTCCATTTGCCAAGTCATTCTCTGCTTTCCTTGGCATTGCCCAGAACTGCACGCTCAGCCCCAAAGCCCAGCAGGGCTGCGCTTCCTTATCCAAGCATTTTCCGAGCGTTTTCCCCGATCATCTCCTGGCACCACCATTCCTTCCCAGTCCCCGTGTGGTCTGACGGAGCTTCTGCCAAGCAGCAGCTTGAGCCCTGACCCTGCACGCAGCCATTGCTGCCGCCGTGACCCTCTGAGCGCCCAGGCACCCATGCGCAAACGGGAGCCCGGCCAGAGCCGGGCTGTGGATCAAGGCAGGGCAGGTCTGGGACACTTGGGCTCCCGATGGCCTTTGCCGGAGCCTTCACGGCTTGACCGACGTGGGAGGTCTGAAGTGTGAAGAAGAGATGGAGGAAGCACCTTTGCTGGAGCAGATCCTGATGAACCAGCGAGCAGCATCACTGCTCTGCACTGCACTGTGACCCACCTCAGCCACCCAGATGTGACCAGCTGTGACTCCTCGGCAGGGTGAAACCTCCCCAACAACCTCACCAGAGCTAGGGCCCCTTCCCAGGGTGGCTCAACACGCACCCAGCGCGACGAGAGGGGTGATGACGGGCACTGCGAGGGGCGCGAGGAACATGTAGACGTAGCAGTTCAGGAAAGGAAGCTTCCAGGTGCTGGAGTCGCCCAGGCCGATGATGTTGGTGTAGCCATGGTGGAGCTTCACGTGGTTGTAGGTGGCCTGCTCGGCTGTGAAAGCCGAGCAGAGCTGGGAGGGGAGAGAGGAGAGGCAGCGCCCAGGGACGTGGCACCACGCGCAGCGGGGTCGCTGCTGCGCGACCGCCTCAGGTGCCCGCTCACCTCGATGAAGAAGATGGCCCACACTTTGCCCCAGGCCTTGGACTCGGTGAGGGCGTTGTGGCTGGCCAGGTGGCTGCCCTTCACGGTCAGCGTGTGGTGCACCACGCCGAGGATGACGATGCCGGCCAGGAAGGGGGCAGCGTGGGCTGACCGCAGGCACAGGAACCCTGCAGGGCGATGGGAGGATGGGATGAGCACCTGGGACAGCCTCCACGCCAGGCCTCTCCCCCGCAGCCCCGCGTCCCGGGGGGCAAACACACTCGTGGCAGCCGGGAGACACCGCGGCGCAGCCGGACGTGCCGGCACTGCCACATTCCCACAGGCACAAGGCCAGGCGCAGCCGGGAAAACAGCGTGCCGCGGGTTGGGCAACCCTCCCCACCGACGCTCCCAGCTCCTGGTGCCCACCGCCTCCACCCGCGCCAGGGGCGCGCCAGGGCTTGGCCGCTTCCAGATGGGAATTTTTTGGCTCTGCGTGGATCTGGCTGGTGGGGGAAAGCAGGAGACACCCCGAGACAGGCACAAGAGGAGGATGTGGTGCCTGACACAAGCCCCGGGGCTTTTGCAAGAGCTCGATCTCTCCCTGGATGTAGCCTGGGGGCAATTTCACCCCGATGGATTTCCAGGGTCGGCCAGGAGAGGAAGGACAGGCTGTTTCCTGGGACAAGCACCGTCCTCCCACAATGCCAGCAGCCCCGGGGGTTTAAAAGCTCAAGCTGGGCTGAAAGCTGGGGGGAACCTGGTGCTGGCCAGGAGGACATAAGCCCCATCGTGGCACCCTGCACTGGGAAGGTGCCCGGGGGCTGGATGCCAGCAGGGCAAGGGGAGCCTGGCACTGGGCAGCA